GGGGGGGGGGGGGTCCTAAACTGTGGATGGCCCAGGCCTCCCCTCTAGAAATTCTGCTCTAATTGCTGCTGTTGGGGCCCAGGTATCTGCAGGCTGTCAGTGCCCCCCAGTGATTCCAGTGCATAGCCAGGACTGAGAACACTGCAAAGGGAAATGGGTCCTGGTGGCTGAAATGAAACCCTGTTATATCTGGGAAAGGTGATCAGATTTTTATTAAGAATGAGTGTTTTTAGAAAACTGCTACCTGATAAGACAGAGGTAATATTAAGGGCTAAATGTTTCTTAAGAGTAAGATACATGCCAAGAACATTTTAAATAGGACAACTAATAGTGACAGAGCACAGTGGAAGCTTTTCATTTTAGAAAGATTTTTTAAGCCCATTATGTCGTAACAAGCCTCTCAGCAGTCATGTGACAATGCAGGTGAATCAGGAAACTGAAGCTCAAAAATGGTAAAAGAGCCACCCGGGGTCACCCTTTTAAGAGACTCCAGAGCCTGGGCTCTTTCAAGTTCATCCCAAAGTCTCCAGGAAACCTTCACCAGTTCGTGCTCCTGTGCACTGAAGGTGAACAGGAAACCCAAACAGATCATGCAAAATATAATGCTACAAATAGGCCTCGAGAACTCATCTGAGGGTGATGCAGCAACTAATATGCCCTTGACCAAAGGATGATCTTCTGTGTACTGGAAAAGCTGTGTGTGCCCTTTTACTGGGCATACGATGGTAGGATTGCTGCCTGTGAAGGGGGGAGCAAGGCAGGGGTGCCCCGCTCAATAGCTGGGCACTGGGTCAACCACCAGCACAGCCTGGCTCCACTGGAGTGTGGATTTTGAAGCCCAATAGGAGAGCAAATGGGTGGGCTTTGTCTTCACCCTTACTAAATGCCCAGGTCAACCTGCCTCTCATCCCCTCTTCGACATTCTATGGCAAGTAACATCCGATGGTACAACCACATCCACGTTCACAAAATATAGGGTGTCCCCAAAAAAGGTATACACACACTTTGAATAATTATATAAAGTGTTTATTAAAATACATTTCATTTTGAAAACTGAGCTATCAGCTGTTAAAGTGTATATACATTTTTTGGGATACCCTGTAGTTTAGAGATGCTCCTTTTTGACTCCTGGCTCAAGCCCATTTCTGCGAATGGGGACTCCCTGGAGTAGCAGGGGAAGGGTGCACAGCCCCCTCCTGGACTGACAAGTCGATTCACAAAGTAGATAACCCACGTTTGGACAAAAGCCATGACTGCAATCAGGCCTCTGTTTATGACAGTAACTTGAGAAGCCCTTTCTCAAGGAGAGACCCAATGCATGAAGTGGTTGTATTTATAGAAGTTAAATAAATAAACCTCTTCAGAGAGGTCATAATGCCGAACAGGAAATGGGGAGCCTTTACTGTGTGAAAACACTTAATATAACTGGTTATGGAAATCTAAAAAATATATATTTGTTAATATTTTGCCTGCCTGCTTACAAGAAAAAAGTTACCAACTGGGGTTAAACATCTAGTGCCTATAAAGTTGATTTATAAAAGAATCTAGCAAAGTCAGTCAAACTTAAAAATATCTCTGAGAGCCCGGCCGGGCATGGCTCAGTGGTTGAGCGTCGACCTGGGATCCAGGCGATTGGGGTTCGATTCCCGGTCAGGGCACATGCCCAGGTTGTGGGCTCTATCAATGACTCTCTCATCATTGATGTTTCTATCTCTCTCTCTCCCTCTCCTTTCCTCTCTCTGAAATCAATAAAGATATATTTAAAAAAAAAAAAATCTCTGATACAATATGTATAGAAAGGTGAATAAATTTAGTCATTTTAAAAAAGAAAGTGGGCTGCACTCTGATACTGGTGGAATTTCAGAAAATGGGAGTGCTTGCCCATTGGACATAAGATCTAGGGCTCCAGGTACATAGTTGAGGCCCAGCAGCATCTTCTTTCTCACAAGGGCACAAGGGTGTTTTGCTTTAACACCCTCCCCCACATTCCTTCCAGAAAGTCCTTAGTAATGCCCTTGATGAGAATCTTGTCTGCCTTCCTCCAACCTGGATTTGGGCAGGGGCTGTCTCAGGACTCAGAGGGACAAATCCAGAGATGCATGTATATCCTCATAGAGTGGAAATACCCCATTACTAAAGGTGACTGTGGAGGTGCAGAGAAGAGGAAGGAGACAGAGTAGAAGGGAAGGTGAGGGGGTGAGGCGAGAAGGGGGGCTCCACAGGCCTCTGCTGGACAACACAACTCCCAAACGCTCATGAGTCACTTTCCCTTTCTGCTTCTATAGGAAATTAAATCTGTCTGTTGCCTCCTCTTGGGTCAACCAAGTGCTCACCCACAACCTCAGAGGGCCAAGGAACTCTTATTGTTGAAGAGGGCATTTCTTTTCCAAACCATGAAACACCAGGCATTTTACTGCCCTCCCATGAACCCTTTGCGCCCAGCCTGAGACTGGGCTAAGGTTTTAGCAAACGTGTCCTAATGTGCACAAAGAATAGGGATTTGTTGCTGTCTCTCTCACCCCTGTAATTCTTGGCTCATTTCCTAAGAGACTAGGGAAGCTGTCCTGGCCCCTGAAGTTTCAAAATTTCTGTTCCTCAGGCCACCCTGGCCCATCTGTCCAGCCAGCTGCCACCCCCTCCGGCTCTGTGGTCATGTCTACCTCCACCTAGGTGGGTGGCCAGGCAGGGGGCCTGGAGGTGGGGTTTAGGTATGACTCCGAGGGACAAGTCAGGAAGATAACCAGAGGAAGAGAACATTAACAGCGTCCAGTGGCAGCTCCCACTGGCGACCTGTCTGAAAGTCACATGTGGCTGCCCTAAACATTAGAAAATGGATTTCGAAAAACACTGTGCCTGGCACCAAATTTGACAACTCTCCACGTGTACCTCGGGGATTAAAAATTAAAACTTCCTCGCCCTCTGAATATCAACCTAAAGACACTGTTCTTTCTGTAGAATTCCAGTTCAGCTTAAGATCACCTTAAGATCACCTTGTCTGAAGCCAACCCTTGACTGGCTGACTCTTCCTTCAAGCTCTCTGCAGCCCACCCAGGTTAGCGGTCCTCCTCTATGCACCTAAACCCTCTCTTCTGAGTACTACTTACTGTGATCCTAACAACATTCATTCTGAATGACTGAGATGTGAGTTCCTTGATTTGGGGAGGGGGAGGACCTAACTCATTTTGAATCTCAATAACCCAGCACAGTGACTAGTAAGCAGTAGAGAATTGATTACGTTTGTTGAGTGAATAAATATAGTCATTCCTTAGAGAGTTACAATTCTAGAACTTGGTAACAATCAGAGGAAGGCGTGCAGCATTTCATTCTACAAATAATAATTCCTGAGAGTTAAGAAACAGATAAGCAAATTTTGAGCTAGAATTTAAAAATGATAATAAGCTTAGTGTCTATTTTTTCTAGACCAGAAAGAAGTAATTAATAATTCATCTTTTTTAATGGCTGGGATGAATTTCATGATTTGGGGACCTGCTGATGGTGTTATAATGAACATCGATTTGCTCTAACTGAGCGCGTTTCCAGGGCAACAGCAGCTCTCAATCATGTCAAATTACAGCAGTTATCTCACTGGGTGTCAGTTTTCCGGTGAAGCTAATTGAAATTGAAAAAGTATATCCTTAGGTCAAGGTTTGACTTTTCTTTGGTTTCATGCAGTTTTTCAGACAGAGAGATTAAAAAATCCCCCCAAATAACACAATCTGTCCAATTTCAGAGAGAAGTTCAGAGTTCACACCAAGCTCTAGAGACCCTCCAGTCTTCCAAACCAAGAGCACCCCACAGAGAACTGTGGGGGGGGGGGGG